AGTAGATAGAGCGTCGGCCTGCGGACTGAAGGGTCCCAGGTTTGATTCCAGTCAAGGGCATGTAACTTGGTTGCAGGCACATCCCGAGTATGGGGTGTGCACGAGGCAGCTGATCGATGTTTCTCTCTCATTGGTGTTTCTAACTCTCTATCCCTCTCCCTTCTGCTCTGTAAAAAATCAATAAAATATATTTTTTAAAAAAGATTCCCAGGTGATTCTAGTGTGCAGCCAAGGTTGAGAACCACTGATCTATAGATATAGTATTTCCAAAGTAAGCTTCAATAATAGATGCATTACAAATCATTTCACTTCCATGCTTTGCTCCGAGGGTGGGTTCCTGTGGGAAGAGCTCAGCCCTGCCTCAGGTTCCTGCCTGAAACCGCTCCCTGAGAGCTGGTTCCTGCCTGAACCTCATCCTCCTGGAAACAGCTGGGGGAGGGGGCAGCTGTTTCCAAGACGACCACTGCAGGACTGGCTTCTTTCCGGTTGGACACACTTCTGGCCATGGTGTTACACCCAGGGTTTTTATATAAGTAGATTAAAACTTTATTGTGGGTAGCTGCTACAGTGTTTGGACAGATTCAAGCCTTGGACTGATGAGAGGGCACAGTCCTCTCATTGCCACATGCAAGTTCCAGCTTGGAGGGCAGGGCCCTCCCAGCACAATTATAGCCGGTCACTGTCTCTCAGAGAAGCAGCATCCCACCGAGACCCTGCTATCATTCTCTTGTCCGTCTTTTCTAAGCCTTTCAGCCGCCCCCACTCATGTTCACCCTTGGCCGTGCTGGCGCAGCACACTTTATAAAGGTATGCCTCCATGCCCCAAGGGCAGGTTCCTGCCTCAAACCCTGCCCTCACTGGAAACAGCACCAGGAAATAGCTCAAGAGAGGGTGCAGCCATTTCCAAGACAACCCCTGCAGGACTGACTTCCTTCCGCTTGGTCGCCAGACCAGTCGTGATGTTACATCACCCACGGTTTTTATATAAGTAGATACCTAAAACCTGTATAATTTTATTAAGCAATGTCACCCTAATGCATGAGACTGATGAATCTCAGAGGGAAGGATGGTGGCAGAAAGAGATTAACCAAAGAACAAATATGCATATATGCATAACCCATGGACGCAGACAATAGTGTGGTGAAGGTCTGGGGGAGGGTGGAAGTGGAGAGTAGGGGGTCATTGGGGGAAAAAGGATATCTGTAATAATTTCAATAATAAAGATAAATTTAAAAAATAAAAAATAAGTTAAATTCTTGTATTTTAGTTCTAATGTGGTTCATCTTGAATTTAGAATTGATTTTCTTTTTTTCTTGAAACTGTATTCTATTTTCTTGTCAGTTTTTTTGTGTGTTTTTTTGTATGTCACATAATTTTGGATTGTATACTGCACATTAGAATATTAAATTTTGGAGATTTTTTATTCTGTTATTTTTCTCCAATGATTTTTATTGATTTTCATTATTGTTTTGTTTTAGTGGATAATTTTCTTGGCATTGTTTGCACAGAAAATTCTGCTTTTTGGGTAGCAACTTTGGTCTCTACCTTTCATATTAATACAAAGTACTTTGAGCCTCTTCTACACATGTGAAATTTTTTATTGAATTTATTGGGGTGACATTGGTTAATAAAATTATTCAGGTTTCAGGTGCACAACTCTGTAATACATCATCTGTATATTGCATTGTGTGTTGACCACCCAAAATCAAGTCTTTTTCCATCACTGTTTATCCCCCCTTTACTCTCTTCTACCTTCCCTCACCCCTCTTCTACACATTGTTGATTCAGGAGCAATTTTTTATTTGTTGGGAGAGAGAGAGAGAGAGAGAGAGAGAGAGAGAGAGAGAGAGATCAATTATTATATGTGCCCTGACTGAGGATTGAACCCACAACCTTAGCGTATCAGTATGACACTAACCAACTGAGTTATGTGGCCAGAGCTCAGGGGTAGTTTTGACTTTTTAATTTACAGTATCCCTCCACTCAGCATTAAAGTTTCCCCAGCATCTCTTTTCTGGTCTTCCAGGCCAGAAAGACTGTGGGCTTTTCCACGTGTATCCTCACCACCACTGTGTGACACGGCACTGTACTTTCCCCTTGCCTAAAAGCCGTTCATATAGTTTCCTGTATTCCTTCCTTCAGCCAAGTGTGTATTCCTCACCCGAGCCTGTCTGTTTCTCTTCACTCCCCAGTACCTTCGGGTAGTTAATTTTTCTATTATGTTCAGGTTTTATAATTGTTTATTGTGGGGAGGGCCATATTAGGTAGGGTCTTAGTTCATTATAAACAGAAGTGGAACTGAGAATTGAATTTTGATACTTTGAGATTGGAAGTTATTAACAAAACTGGTGTTTTGAATAGAAAGCAGAACATCTATCTGATAGATATTATTTTCTCTGTATACTTTCAAGATTATAAAGGTAGGACAAAGTATCATTTCAACATTGTATGATTAAACAGTTATTTTCCTTGCCCTAACCAGTTTGACTCAGTGGATAGAGCATCAGCCTGCAGATTGAAGGGTCCCAGGTTCGATTCTGGTCAAGGGCATGTACCTTGGTTGTGAGCATATCCCCAGTAGGAGGTGTGCAGGAGGCAGCTGATCGATATTTCTCTCTCATCTATGTTTCTAACTCTCTATCCCTTTCCCTTCCTCGCTGTAAAAAATAAATAAAATATATTTAAAAAGTAATTTTCATAGAAATATATTAACATAAAATGTTTTATTTCACAGATATTTATTTAGCTATAGAAATATAATATTTTTTCTTTTGTGTTCAAGGTTGTTCATCGTGATCTTAAACCTAGTAATATTTTATACATGGATGAATCAGCCAATGCAGACTCCATTCGGATCTGTGATTTTGGGTTTGCAAAGCAACTTCGAGGAGAAAATGGGCTTCTCTTAACTCCATGCTACACGGCAAATTTTGTAGCACCTGAGGTATTCTTTAAAACTTCAGTTTTTGTTTTTCAATCTTTCCTTTAGTTGAATGTATATAATGACATGTATATGTTATGGTTGCTAAGTAAAATTTAAGTTACCTTATCCATTCTCAACAATAAAGCTATTTAAATCAGTGAATTCTGATAGCCCCTTAGTATAAATATTCAGACTAGAAGTTAGCATCTGAAACCAACTTGAATGTAATAATTAGACTATTTCATTTTCCTGGGTGATGTACTAGTTTAAGGATTTACCCTTTTAGAGCTGGAAGGGAAAGTAGAGATAACTCTACCTTTAATATATTAAGTATTAAAAATGAGGAAACTGAGGCTTAAAGTACCTAAATAACATTTTCAAGGCCCAGCATTCACTTAGTAACGAAGTCAAGATAGGTTTTCACATATTTTGGGTTGTGTTGAACATGAAGTAATTTATACTATTTAGTATTACACATAACATATAAAGGCAGTGCTATCCCTGATTCCTTTTAGGATCTTCAAATTCTTGGAGAAAATAGCTTCACATGGGTTTTATGAGCAGTCAAGTTTTTCTTGGCAAATATAATTCATACATAGATCTTGAAGGGAAGAGCCAGGAAAGGTGAGGCGTCAGTGGTTCTGACAAAAGAGGCAAAAACATAAATGGGGTTAAGATAATATATTCAATAGTGTTGGAAAAATTGGACAGATATGTGTAAAAAACTGAAACTAGACCACCTTCTTACACCATACTAAAGAATGAACTCAAACACTTAAATACAAGTCAAGAAACCATAAAAATTCTAGAAGAAAATATAAATAGTAAAATCTCATACATTTCCTGTAGCAATATTTTTTCTGATATTTCCCCTCGGATGCTCTGCTTTCTATTCAAACCACCAGTTTTGTTAATAACTTCCAATCTCTACCTCCCCCCATCTCTCTCTCTCTCCCACCCCACTCTCTTTCTCTCTCTTTCTCTCTTTTCCTTGGGTATGGAAAACAAAAGAAAAAATTAGGAGACGGGACCAAATCAAACTAAAACATTTTTGCACAGCAAAAGAAATCATCAACAAAATTAAAACACAACTCACTGAATGGGAGAACATATTTGACACTGATAAAGGGTTAATATCCAAAATTTATAAATAACTTATAAAACTCAACACCAGAAGAAATCAAAGAATTGAATTAAAAATTGGGCAAAGGATATGAATAGACACTTCTCCAAAGAGGACATACAGATGGCCAATAGACATGAAAAGATGCTCAATGTCACTAATCACCAGAGAAATGCAAATTAAAACTGTAATGAGATATCAGCTCACACTTGTTAGAATGGCTATGGTCAATAAATCAAAAAACAAGTTCTGGTGAGGATATGGAGAAAAGGGAACACTCACGGATTGTTGGTGTGAATGCAGATTGATGAAGCCACTTTGTAAAGCTGTATGGAATTAACTCAAAAAATTAAAAATGTAACTGTTTTATGACCCATTGATTCCACTTTTGGGAATTTATCTGAAGAAACACAAAACACAAATTTGAAGGAATATATGCATCCCTATGTTCATTGCAGCATCATTAACAATAGCTAAGATTTGGAAGCAGCCCAAGTGTTCATCAGTAGATGAATGGATAAAACAGCTATGGTACATTGACACAATAGAATACTGCTCCTCATAAAAAAAACAAAACAAAAAATCTTATCCTTTGAGACAGCATGGATAGACCTGGAGAGTATTATGCTAAGTGAAATAAGCCAGTCAGAGCAAGACAAGTACCATATTATTTCACTCACATGTGGAATCTATTGAACAAAATAAATTAAAAAAGAACCAGACTCATTAATACCAAGAACACATTGATAGCTGTCAAAGGGGAGGGTGGTTGGGAGGCTGGGTGAAAATGTTGAAGGTGTTAAGCAGAAAAGAAAAACTCATAGTTTCAGACAGCAGTATGATAATTACCAGAGGGAAAGGGGTGAGGTGAGGTACAAAAGGATAAAGGGGGATAAATGATGATGAAAGGAGACTTGACTTGGATTGGATATCTGACTTGTGGCAGTGAAACACAATGCAATATACAGATGATGTACTGTAGAATTGTATACCTGAAACCTCTATAAACTTATTAACCAAAGTCACACCAATAAATTCAATAATTTTTTTTAAAAAATGCTTTGAAGAGTTTTATTATCAAGTGATGAAGCCTCTGCTAGTAATCAATGAATATATGTAAATTTTTATGAATGAGGTTTTTGTTAGATTTGTCCCTGAAATTTCAGACTCTTAAAAAAAATTAGTAATGGTATATGTGAAGTGAATTATCTTTTAAACTTAAATTAGAAATATTCAAGCACCTATGCAGATATTTGAATATAGTAACATTATAGGGGTATAAATTCATTCCCTCATTGCAGTGCCTAAAGAGTCCTTTTTCTCTAACATATAAGATAATTATAGCCCTGGGTGGGTAGTTCAGTTGGTTCTAGCATCATCCCAATACACCAAGGTTGCTGTTTAGATCTCCAGATAGGGCACATACAAGAATCAACCAACAAATGCATAAATAAGTGGAACAACAAATCAATGTTTCTTTCTCTCCTTGTCTCTGCATCTCTCTCCCTCCCTCAACCCTCTCTTTCTCTCTCATTCTCACTCCCCAACCCCTTTCTCTCTCTCTCCTCTCTCTCCCACCCTACTCACTTTCTTTTTCTCTAAAATCAATAAATAAAAATTTAAAAATAAATTGATTACAATTTCAACTTAACAAGGAGGAAATAATATTTATTCACTTTTTATATGTATTAATTCAATCAACTTCTTAAGATTTACATAGTAGATGTGCTTTTCTACTATACCTATGTCACAAAATTAATATCTCTCTAAAATGTTTTATTTTATAAATGTAAATCCATAATAGTACTCAACTGATATTTAATGTCTCCTGATATATAAGAATTATCCTGAATTAAATGAACTAATAATAAATTGGTGGGATGTTGTTCCTGCAGCACTTTGTAAAAAAATGAGTGTGAATTTATTCTGCATTTTTCTCCTCTGGGGTGGATGTTTTGCTCCAAATATGAATTAAGTTGAACTTTAGAACAAAGGGAATGAGAATCTATGTTTATATTATTTTTTGCTAACTTTGGATACCACATGAGAAAGAAGGCAATGGCATTAAATACTTTACTTCTGACTTATGTATTCTTGTATTTAACTTGATGCAAGTAGGAAAGTATTAAACACATGCTCTGCATTATACTCTTTCACTCATGCCACTACCTTGCCTTGTTTCTTTTATGGCTATGCTAGAGGTCAGGTGCACAAATTCGTGCACAGGTGGGGTCAAGCCAGTCCTCCCTGATTGGGGCCGATTGGGGCAGGACTGGCTAGGGAAGGGGCGCAGGCAGTTGGCTGGCCGGCCCCGCCCCCCAATCGGGGTGGGGTGGGGGGAACCGATCAGGGCCACAGTGTGCAACTGGTCGTTCCGGTCATTCCAGTACCCACTCTAGAGAAAAAGTGGACTCCCTATTCTTTGCCCATACAAAAGGGGTTTAAGTGTGTTGTAAATGTGTAAAACAAGGTTTTCATGATTGATGCTAATTAGATTAAGCACTATCATGCCTTCTGTGCCCTTTTTCTCATTAACTAGGAAGGTTATGAGTGTGTGAAATACTTATAGCTGACTCAATGAGTAACCCTCACCTATCCAACAAGTTCTTGGGCAGTCTTTTGACCTTGGTTGCAAATTGGAACATTTAAAAAATACTCTACTATCCCTGGCTGAGCATTGTCTTAATACGTCAAGGTTGTAAGGTTGTGGGTTCAATCCCAATCAGCATACATATAAGAATCAACCAATAAGTGGGACAACAAATTGATCTCTCTCTCTCTCTCTCTCTCTCTCTCTCTCTCTCTCTCTCTCTCTCCTCTCTCTGTAAATAAATTAAAGTTAAAAAGAGATTTAAAAAATGGACACATATGTAATACCCTTTGTAATACTTTAAGCAATAAAAAAATAATTAATTAATTTAATTAAATTTAAAAAAAATACTGTCGTAAGGGAACCATGGAAAATATGATGGTGATGTCCAGAACGATAAGAGTATATGAGAAAAATAAATGAAATAGTTGGTGGTGGTGGGAAGCAGGAGAGGTTTAAGTTTTACTAAAAGATGCCAACTTGGGTTTACCATGATATGAGTAGTTTAACTGTACCTCATTATTTATTAAGGGTTTTTGTAGTCTCTATGTGAATTATTTACATAAGCCAGTTATAGAAGTATTTGATAGCCTCTCCAGCTTCTCAAGTGTGCACATATGTGTGTTCTTAGAAATCCAATTTAACTAGAAAAAAATTATATCTTGAAATTTAAATTAGTTGCTCATTATTTGTGTCTGGCAATTGTCAAAACCAAACATTAATGTATTGAGCCTCTTATAAATGTCCAATCTGGTGCTTACACAACCCACATTGTTAATGCATTAACAATGTTTCTATTTTGTTCCTGTGCCTAAAGGTTGTAGCAGTGGGCTTATTTTTCTGAATAAGAAAGCTTCATTTCATCTATTTTCTAACAAACTTTATTAACCTCATGGAGAAAACTCACATGAATATATAATGAATATATTATTTGATTTTTATTAACACTAGTGCCAAGAGCAAAAAACAGCTACCTACATAAATTATTGTATGAAAAGTTAATGAAACCATTTACAATTTATCAGATGTGTATTTGTAATACAGAAATATACTGATCTTTTCAAGACATAAGCCTTGTATATAAAACAAAAATTAATCTTTCATAAGATCATATATTATCTCACCATCTCGTAGGTAGCAAGGAGACAGTTACAGATATTATAAGCCCAAGCTCTAGAGTAATTATACCTCCTCCACTATTTACCAGTTCTGTGGTATTGGGAAAATTACTAAACATTTGCCTCAGTTTTTTCATCTTTAAAATAGAAATAATTTCTTCCTTATAAAGTCAGTGTCAGGATTAAAGACAGTGCTGTGTGTAATATACATTAAGGTTTTTGTACATATTAATCTTAAATTTTTATGGCTCTATTTGTTTTTTCTAAGAGGAGAAGTGAAAGTTAAAATATTACAAGGTTGTTTTTTGTATGGTCCATGTTACTTACTCACTTTATTAATAGCCATTTATTCCATACTTGCTAATAGCAGAAGATTTTTGCCTTTAACATTACAAGAATCTATTTTTAAAATAATCTAAGTTTTTAAATTGTGAACATTTGTGAGATTATTAGAAGCACAACTTTCATTATTTCTTTCTCAGGTTCTTATGCAACAGGGCTACGATGCTGCTTGTGATATTTGGAGTCTAGGAGTCCTTTTTTACACAATGTTGGCTGGGTAAGAAATCTTATATATTCAAAATAATTCACATCAATATTTGAATTTCACCTGTATATTTTCATCTAGAAAGAGAACAAATGAAAATAACTTTAAGGAAAATTCTATTCACATTTCAAAATATTGTATATTGTTTTCTTATAAAATTGAAAAAAAACGTAAATGTGAGGCAATATTCATATATATAATTTTACAAGTTTTCAATTGATACTGAATTATTTTTTAAGATTTAATTTTAATTTTATTTTTTGAATCCTCACCTGAAGATATTTTTCCATTGATTTTTAGAGAGTGGAGAAGAGAGGGAAAGACAGAGAGAAATATCAATGTGAGAGAAAGAAATCGATTGGTTGCCTCCTACACATGTCCCAACCAGGGCCAGGCTGGGGAGGATCCTGCAACCCAAGTAGGTGCCCTTGACCAGAAAGAACCCAAGACCTTTCCATCTGCAGGCCAGTACTCTATCCACTGAGCCAAACTGCCTAGGGCTTGAATTAATTTTTTTAAGTACTTGAATTCTGGCTCTCCTGCCACTAGAGATTTAATAAGATTGAGCTTTATAACAAATCTAAATAGTACAGAATCCTAAATTACAGAAACACACAGTTGCCTTCTCTTGAAAGGATAAAATCCTACTAAACAAAGTAATAAATGGATTATGTTAATGTTGGTAATTTGCAAGTCTTGTTTTGCTCTAATCATTTTTATTTAGGAGTAAAAATTTATGGCTATAAAAAAGGCTGGATTTAAAAAAAAATCAATGCATAGAATGGAATTTGAAGAATTATA